AAACTCAGTGCTATGGGTCAAACGTATCCCCCAAAAGTTCACCTATTGGAAACTTGATCCCCATTGTGACAGTGTTAAGAGAGTGGGAAATCCAATTACAGTAATTGAGAGGTGGGGCCTTGAAGAGGTGATTAGATAGTGAGGCCTGTGCCCTCCTGAACAAATTGATCCATTCATGGAGTAATGGGCATGATTCTGATGGCTTTGAAAGGAGAGCAAGTGAACAGATCAGCTCTCTTGCTCATCCTAGTCTCGCTGGTGGACACCTGTCATGAAGGCCCTCACCAGATGTATTACTTGGACCTTGGACTACCTAGCCTCCAAACTAAGAAGTAAATTTCATTTCTTTATAAATTACCCAGTGTCTGATATCCTGTTACAACTAACAGAAATGACTGGACTGGCCCGGTGGCGCACTTGGTTGAGTGCGGCGCTTGGGAGCACGGCGGCGCTCCCGCCGAGGGTTCAGATCCCATATAGAGACCGGTCCGCTCACTGGCTGAGCGTGGTGCGGGCGCGACACCGAGGGTTGCGATCCCGTTACCGGTCATGAAAAAAAAGACAAAAAAAGGAAAGCCCATATAGAGACCGGTCCGCTCACTGGCTGAGCGTGGTGCGGGCGCGACACCGAGGGTTGCAATCCTGTTACCGGTCATGAAAAAAAAGACAAAAAAAGGAAAGAAAAAAAAAAAGAAATGACTAATATGCCCAGTGAATACAGAAAGTTAAAACATTCCCCAATTAATTTTATGAAATAGCACAATCCAGCTATTACAAGAAGACAATTCTATTCTAAGAAAGTAAAACACTTCTCATGATCAAAATTTCAAAGTTCTAAACAAAATAATAGCAAACTAAATCCGACAAATATAAAATATACCATAATATACACAGGGGGGTTTATCCCAGGAATTGAAGGCTGATTCACTACACTGACAGAAAAACACACACAGACACACACACATATGAGTGCATGTACACCCATCTAAAAAGTTTTTTAAAATAAAAAACTTTTATAAGTCACTTACGAAACCTATAACCATCATACATATTTTTAAAATATGAGTTTTCCCCTGAAGTAAAAGCAAAACAAAACAAAAAACAATCAAAAATCATGGATAAACTAGATGAACTATTACTTGCTACTCAACATAGTATGGGAGTTCCTGGACAGTACAAAAAAAAACCCCACTAAAACTGAGAAAAAGAAACAAAATGGTCCTTATTTTCAAATAATGAGTGTAATATATTTTAAAAAGTCAAAGAAAACAGCAGAAAATTATTAACAATATTGATTCATCATTTGCAAGACTATATATATAGGTAAATATACAAAATATATTGTATTTCTATAAAATGACAATTAAACAATTGGGAAAAAACTTCATAAATACTATTTGCCATAGCATCAGAAAACATACAAATATATGCAGAGCCTCTACAATCAAAACCATAAAAATGGCAGGGAAAAATTGAATAAAACAAATAAATGGAAAAGATATGTTAAGTTCATGAATTGGAAAGCTCAATATTATTGAGATTTCATTTGAATCAAACTTTATTTGTAGATGGAATGTTATCAGATGTAGAACCCCAGCAAGCTATTTGTAAAATTTCAAGATAATTTTAAATTTTTATGTAAAAATGCAAATAGTTTAAAATAACCAAAATAATTCTGAAGAACAAAAATTAGGAAGATTTTAAATACCAATTTTGACAGTGTACTAGAAACAATGATAATTCAGATAGTGTATCATTTGTGTAAAAACAATTACATCAGTTGGAAAGAATTGAGGGTCTAGAAATAAATCCATTAAAAATACTTTTTTCCCCCGAACAGTATTGTGTATTTAAATCTACAAGAAAAGAATGGTATTTTAAATAAATGAAGCTAAGTAAATAGCTATACATATAAAAATAAAGTCCCATGACCCTCATCCCATATCATCAAAAAATATTTAGAGATGGTTATAGACATAAATACCAAAAATAAAACTATGAAGTTTCTGGAAGAAAATATACTAGAATATTTCCACACTTTATGTTGGCAAATAATTCTTAAATAGAAGATACAAAGAATAGTAATAAATAAACATTTGATTAAATGGATACACTTACAATTAAAAACTTTTGTTCATCCTAAGACACCATCAAAAAACTTAAAAGGCAACTCCCAGACTGAAGAATTTAATTTGCAGTTTATCCTAACTGGCCCAAAAATATTCAACAAGTCCCGCATTGCAACTATTGATCATGGGATACAAAATTATTTTTTTAAAAAGGAACAAAAGTATCATATTGCAAACAATAGCAAGAGATTGAGAATGCCAAGTGTCAGCAAGGATATGCAACAACTAAAACTCTCATGTATTGCTAGTGAAAAGGTAAAATACTATAACCACTTTAGGAGATAATTTACCAGATTTCTATAAATATAAAACTTCACTTACTCCATACACTAGCATTTTGCTATTAGAAATATATGCATGAAAGCACATGTCAATGCAAAACTTGTTTTTTTATAGCAGATTTATTCATAATATTTACAAACCGGAGGTAATGTACAATAACAGGTGATTAACTCAATTTTTAGGATACTAGACAGCTATAAAATGAATGAAAATACTTGATACCTGGAACAGCATAGATGAATCTCAAAAATAGTAGGCTCATAGAAAGAAACCAGACACACACAAAAAGTACCACTCCATGATCCCTTTCATATGAAGTTTAAAATGACAGAATAGTGAAGTTGGGTATTGACAGAAAAAGGCAAAAGAACTTTCTGAGGGGTCTGATTTGGGTAAGTGCACATAGCAGTTTAGATATGCAAAATTCAAATTTGTGCATTTTGATAAAATTAGATACCTTTGTGTAGAGGATTCATAAAGCAAATGTATTTCACAGGGCCTGGTTTTCCAAAGCCTTGCAGTTTCAAATACTGACCATGCAAAGGACAAGAAATTTTCCTCAGGCTATAAGGTCTCTGGTGTAAGATAAAGATTTGTGGCACAGCAAGGTTGCTGGCTCAAGGACAGACTAGTTACTGATTGTTATGTAATGATACTGAGAAATTGCTGTAAAAAAGGAATGTTTGCTGAGATCAGGCTTTTGTTAATGGCTCACTTAATTGCCTTACTGGAATGTCACCTGGCTTGTTTCATTGAAAGTTACCAGCCTATATTTTTAAACTATAACCCCACCTATGTTCTCTTCCTGTAACTTCCTGGTCTGGAGAATAAATGCAGGAAGAGAACCCCAATTTGGGGTTAATTTCCCAAAGAAGGGCTGCCTCTCACTTGAGTGTTCTGGGGAAGTTAACCACTTTGGGGCTTCTCACTGCTCAGAGGAGATGGGCTTTGAGTAATCCTTTGTGGCTCCATCACCCAGGGAAAGTGGGGTGACAAATCCGTGAGGGCAAAGCAACACATTTGTCTAAAATTGGTATAGCCCGTGGGTGGGGGGATAGAATTTCAACAATGTTTCACTTTTTTTTAAATAGGGTATAAGTATTAATGCTGTTTATTTCATTTTATGTCAGCTTTGTTAAGATATTTTTATAAATTTAAGTATTTAGTTTAAATTACAATTTATTGGCATACTTTTCTTCATGATTCTATTTATTCTTATGAATATGTCTCATTTCAACTACATATTTTTTCCTCTTTCCATTTTCCTTAGTTTATCAACCAAAAAGAAAAGTCTTTTATATTCTTTTCAGATACCAACCTTTAATATTGTGAATCCAGGCTAATTTAACTAATTTTCTCTTTCATTAATTCTACATCTTAATTTTAGTAGCATTTTTTTTAAAAAAAAAAAAAACCTCTCTAGATATCTATGGTTTTGGTGTAATAACTTTAATAAACACATAATCATTCTCTTTTTGTTTTGGGGTTTTTTTGTTTGTTTGTTTCCAGAAAGTAAGACAGTCGGATTACTGAGACTATAAAACCTGCCTTACCGTCTAAGAGTTTTTCAGATGACAATTCAATATTCTTCTTAGAATATTACAAACAAAATACCTTTCTTACAAACAAAGTGCTCTAACCAAAACTGCTAATTCTTACAAAAAGGGAAGACAAAATCAATAAGAAGTTAACAAAAAAAATTAATTCACTCTCTACATAAAAAGGCAAATCATCTTAAAAGTTAATTTAAAAATACCAGTTAAAAGTGAGATTTTGTGATGCTCACACTAGTGGAGATGAGGCTCAGGAAAATGTGCATCACTCTTTGGTAATAGACTTTCAAGTCTAATGTAAGGCAACTTTCTGGAAGATGTTTTGCAATATTTACGACACTTTTTACATGGCTTGCCCATTGATCACATGGAGGTGACTATCAAAGAAGGTTTATGAAACTACGTATATGTCAAAAGTTTGATAAGGTACATGGTGTTACATCCATACAGTAACATATCATGCAGTTATGAGAATAACAGAGCCATATTTATTATCTGAAAAAAAAATCCTAACAATAAATAAATGACAAAGCCAATAACACTCACATATGATCATTAAAAATATGTGTGTGTGTGCATGTCCAAATATTCATTTAGTTCAAATTTTCTATCTTTAGAAACTAGGGTGGACATTCACTTCACCACCACTCTGTACTGTCTAGATTTAATTTTACAAAGTACATGCTTTACTATTTTCATCAGATTAAAAGTATTACTTTATTTTTACAAAGCATTTATATACGTAGGCATCAAGAGATTCTTTAAATAGTGTCATTTTAATCATGTTACTAGGTAAATAGTATGACCTCACTTATGTAAAAATACATATTTTAAGGTACATGATTTCTAAGAGTCCAGTAATTTGAGAAATAAAACAAATGAAACACCTGCTCTCACTCAGACCAAATGACTCTTGAGCCCAGTAAATCAACACAAACAATATCTCACAAAGTGATGTGTATGAATTGATTGGGGCCCTGTGGTCCAGCAGAAATAAAACACCTAAAAATTTTTAAATAATTGATTTCTTAGTTACATGCGTTTCTGAAGCGTCCTCATCACTGGCGTTTGTCCGCGTCCTCTGCGGCACCGTCACCTGCAGAAGGGCTGCTTCAGAATCTGCAGTGAGGAAGACACGTGAACGTTCCCCAGTGAGCAGCGTCCTCCCTCCCACCTGTGGCTCACTCATCACTTTTTGAACGTCCACGCCCCACGCGCACGTGCGCAGACGCTCCTGGGGGGTGGGAGCATCCGGGGCACAGCCCAGGCTCACCTGGGGCTCCGAGTGGGAGGAGAAGTGGGGGCTGTGGGTCTCGACCCTATGCAGGCGCCCGACGTCACCCACCTCCCCAGGAGGCCGAGTCCCCTCGTGGAGGTCGGGTCGGGTCAGCGAGGGACAACGGCCCCGGTTCTGCCCGGAGCCCTCTGACCCCAGGCCCAGCAGAACCCCTGCCGCTCTGCGGTCTGGACCTGGACGTCCCTCCCAGCCCGGCCTGGGCTCCTGGAGCAGGCGGGCGACACCCTCCTCTCCGTGGGCCTGTCGCAGGCGTCCCTCCCGGCGGCGGGGCCTCACTCACGGTGGCCCGCGGAGATCAGCCGGCCCAGGCCCGAGAGGAGCAGCAGGAGACACAGCATCGCGGGGCTGGGCCGCGGCGGGGACTGTTGGGCCTGAACGGCGGCAGCTCGCGGCCCGATAGGGCGGAGGGCGCAGTCCCAGAGGCGCCGCCCACAGCCCTGCGGAAGCGCGTGGGGCCGCCGCCTCTGCGCTGCTGGGCTATATTTTCCAAAACGTTGACGCTGAAGACACGTTCTGGGGTAACATAGCGGTTATAAAGCACATTTTTGTCCTCTAGGCCACGTGCTGCCGAGGTTCCTGACTGTGCTGATGTCCCACGTCACTGCTTTCTGGTACTACAGGGAATTACTGTAGGGAAGGAAAACAGCAGTTCGCAGTATGTTTGGTGACCTCAAACTGCCTGTTTTAACTGTAACTACTTCTGGTTTTGTACTTTTAATCTCAGGTGAAAAAACAGGCAAACACACACTAAAAAATAAGAAATTGTTTTATAGAAAAGTTTACTTCTCAGACAACTGCGAAGTCCAAATAAATGCTAAATATAAATATCTGTATGTGTGTGATTACTGTAGTATTAGTGGCTTAAGGATCAGGCAAACACTAATGACAACTATGACATGACTCTAAAAACAATCAAAATCCTTTGATTTATTCAGTTTTGTACACTTTCATTTCTTAGAAAAACCTATGGCTGACGGAGACTGAGTAAAATGCTAGGCATAAATTTTTCCCATTCACTATGGAGTACACAAATGGAAAGTCAATATACTGAACGTGGAAAGAACCTCATTTTGTATCTTAATATACAGGTTGATGACTTGCCTAGTCTTAACTTTTTTTGTACAATTTATTTATTATTTATTTATTTATTTATTTGTTGTATTTTATTTTATCAATATACAATGTAATTTTCATGTCCCTTTACCGAATCTTCCCTCCCTCCCCCCATCAGCATCATATCTGTTCCTTTGTCTTAAGTTCAAGGAATTGTGATTGTCATCTACCCTGTCCCCCCCATTTGTTTGTGTATTGATTTATTTATTTTTAGCTCCCACAAATAAGTGACAACATGTGGCATTTCTCTTTCTGTGCCTGACTTATTTCACTTAATATAATTTTTTTCTGAGTCCATCCATGTTGCTCTAACGGCAATATTTCACTCTTTTTTATAGCTGAGTAGTATTCCATTGTGTAGGTATACCACATTTTCCATATCCACTCATCTGATGATGGACAATTAAGCTGGTTCCAACTCTTGGCTATTGTAAATAATGCTGCAATGAACATTGGGGAACAGGTATACCTTTGACTTGATGATTTCCATTCCTCTGGGTCAGAGTGAGGATAGCTGTGGAATAGCTGGGTCATATGGTAGATCTATCTGTAATTGTTTGAGGAACCTCCATACAACTTTCCATAAAGGCTGCACCATTTTGCAGTCCCACCAACAGTGTATAAGGGTTCCTTTTTCTCCGCATCCTTAACAGCATTTATCATTCACAATCTTTTGGATATTAGCCATCCTAACTGGAGTGAGATGGTATCTCAAAGTGGTTCTGATTTGCATTTACTGAATGCTGAGTAATGTTGAACATTTTTCATGTGTCTGTTGGACATTAATATATGTTCCTTTGAGATATGCCTATTCAGCTCATTTGCTCAGTTTATAGTTGCATTACTTGTTTTTTTGCTGTTGTTTGAGTTCCTTGTGTATTCTGGATATTAATCCTTTGTCAGATGTATATTTTGCAAATATTTTCTCCCACTCTGTTGGTTGTCTTTTAACTCTGTTAATTGTTTCTTTTGCTGTGCAGAAGCTTTTTAGTTTGATATAATCCCATTTATTTATTTTTCCTTTGGTTGACCATACTTTGGGTGTCATATTCATTGAGTCTGTGCCCAATCCTACTTCCTTGAGTGTTTCTCGTATGTTTTATTTAAAGAGTTGTATTCTTTCAGGGTGTATATTTAATTCTTTAATCCGTTTTGAGTTGATTTTGGTATATGGTGAAAGATGTGGGTACAGTTTCATTCTCCAGCATATGGATATCCAGTTTTCCCAGCACCATTTGCTGAATAGGCAGTCTCTTCCCCAGTGTGTAGACTTGCTGCCTTTGTCAAGGATCAGATGGCTGTAGGTGTATGGGTTGATTTTTGGATTCTCTATTCTATTCCATTGATATGTGTGTCTGTTTTTATGCCGGTACCATGCTGTTTTGCTTATCATAGCTTTGTAGTATAGTTTAAAGTCAGATAGTGTTATGCCTCCAGCCCTATTTTTTTTGCTCAGAATTGTATTGGCAACTCATGGTCTTTCATTGTTCCATATAAATGTTATGATAGTTTTTTCCAGTTCAGAGAAAAATGTTATTGGAATTTTGATGGAGATTGCATTGAATTTGTAGATCACTTTGGTTAGTATGGGCATTTTCCCAATGTTAATTCTTCCAATCCAAGAGCATGGGATATATTTCCATCTTCTTGTATCCTCTTTAATATCTCTCAACAGTGATTTGTAGTTCTCATTATAGAGATTTTTCACATCCTTGGTTAACTTTATTCCTAAGTATTTTATTTTTTGTTGGCTATTGCAAATGGGCTAGCTTTCCTGATTTCTTCTTCTGCATGTTCACTGTTGGAGTATAGAACTGCTACCAATTTCTCTGTGTTGATTTTGTATCCTGAAACTTTGCTAAAATCATTTTTCGACTCCAAGAGGTTTTTTTTGTTCTTTTTGTAAAGGCTTTAGGCTTTTCAATATATAGGATCATGTCATCTGCAAACAGGGACAGTTTGACTTCATCTTTTCCAATCTGGATGCTCTTTATTTCCTTCTATTCTCTGATTGCTCTGGCTAGTACTTCCAACGCTATGTTGAGTAGGAGTGGTGAGAGTGGGTATCCTTGTGTAGTTCCTGTTCTTAAGGGAAAAGTTTTCAGTTTTTTCCCATTCAGGATGATTTTGGCAGTGGGTTTATCATATATGGCTTTAATTATGTTGAGATACTTTCCATCTATACCTAACTTGTAGAGAGTCTTTATCAGGAACGAATGTCAAATTTTGTCAAATGCTTTTTCAGCATCTATGGAGATGATCATATTGTCCTTGTATTTGATTTTATTGATGTGGTGTATCACATTTCTTGATTTGCGTATGTTGAACCAACCCTGCATCCCTGGGATTAATCCCAGTTATCATGGTATAAAATTTTGTGTATGTGTTGTTGTATTCTGTTCGCTAATATTTTATTGGGGATTTTTGCATCTATATTTGTCGGGTCCGCCGCCAGCCAACCCGTACAGTCCTAGCCTCATTCCTTCTGGTGAGCGAGCAAACGGCCCGGATTACTCTTTCCCTCCTGTCCC